CGAAGCTGCGGGTAGTGACTCCCAACTCCGGCTTTTACAACCCTTCCACTAGCTTTCTGCTAGCGTAGGGAACCCGGGTTGGACTTCCTACTTCGGATCGAAGTAGGAAGCGGTGAACAACACTCTCAACTCACAAAACGCGCAGAGAACACAGGTCCGCACGGAAGGACTCACTGAGAAACGTTCCATTAACACACCATAACAGTCTATTGAAGAGTTTGAATTCTTAGGCACTTGTCATTCCCAGAAATACTACAGGGGTTACCCTGAAGGCACCTGCTGCAGCGTAATCTGAATTTACAAACAAGGCTTACACGCAGTAGCAAAACTTCACTTTGGCATTCAGGGGAAAAATTCTGAAGGAGTACAATCAGGGACAGTCACTCGAAAGTGTAAGGGGGAAACTGTTCAAGTATCTAACTCGTCACTGGCTCTGAGCATCGGCAATCACCCGCAGGTGTAGATCCGAACTACTCAAGTCTCTAACCAATGTACTAGCTCTGAACGTTCGGCCGAAGGCCTTCAGCTACACAATGCAGACCGCCAAGGTGTAGCTCCTCTTGCGTGGTGACAGAACTAAGGACACAAACACGCAGAGAAAATGAGTTCCTGATCTGCACTTCCGAAACTGGAAAAAATCCCAAGGCAAGATGCCTTGAACTACTTTATACCTTCTAATTTCTAACTAACATTACACTGCACTATGCTACGCGCCTGCACGGAACCACGCTACACTACACTCCGCAGAACCGGTGCTTCGCCTCCTGCGCGACGGACTGCCGCGCACTAACTCTCTACCCTGCCAGTCTCCAGCTCGACTGCGCAGTCCCAAACGCCGCAACACCGCGGAAACCTCCGTCTCAAGGGTGACCATGGTGTCCCGCGCCTTCGACAGAAAAGAATCCGGCTTCTTCGCCACTCGCCGCCGACTCTGACTGTCACCTGTCAACAACCCGGCTGCACGAAGCTCTAACTCACGCAGTGTGAGTTTCTCCTGCGCCGCCACTTCCAATGGGCGTAGCCCCTGAGAAAGTGGGTGACTCGCCTCGCCATCTCTTCCTTCGTGCGATCTGCCTCCCGTCGGCGATCGTCTTCAACCACAACTAACTGCAATTTGGCCTCCGCACGCTGTGCTCTCAATTCTCCGCACTCGGATTGCAATTTGCGAATTAATTCTTCATCCGCCTGCCGTGCGAGCTGACACTGCTCTAACAACCGCGTCTGTCGCACGAGCTCCTCTGACAAAATTCGATTTTGAGCCTGCTCAGAATCCAACGCTTCCGTGAGCTTCACCTGCTCCTTGGCGAGCTCTTCCAGTCTCCCATCCTTCACCCTGTCGAAGTGTTTATACATCTTCTTATTGAGGGTGTAATAACTCCACAAGCATTCATGCTTCTCCCGAAGAGCCTTAAGTTCCTGGTCCACACGGGCTAGCAACTTGCTGGTGTGGACTTTAGTGCGAGTTCGCCTGCGCACTAACTCGACGTAGGACCCAGGCTGGCGAGGGTCCGCGTACTTCTCCATCTTGCGATCCAAGTACCTCAGCAGAGGTACTCCTTCAGAGCCCGTCGTTTAGGGTGGCGTCTGTCCCAGACGTTGCGCCCAACTCCTGGATTCTACGAGATTCTCCGAGATCATCCCGTTTCACTCTATTTTGATGCACCGATGGCTATTTACACTGCTGCCGCGGTACAGTTTTCCAAAAATGTTTTAAATTCCGCAAAAATACTAAAAGTGGGGTACCACAGCATCAATGACAACAACCTGTTTAGGCTTGGAACGAATTCTTTCAAAACACCTGCAGTTCCTGCTGAGGTTTGTTGAATACCAAACCTCAGCAGGAGCTGCAACACTTGGCTTCCAACACCGAAGAGCTGGACACCTACCAATGGCATCTCAAGCTCGGCCATATGAGTCTTCCGCGAATTCAGCAAATGAAGCAGCATCACATGGTAGAAGGGTTGGAGAAATGTTCCTTTCGGACTCTCCCTTTCTGCACATCATGTGCTCTAGGGAAGTCCACAAGAGCAAAGTTTCCAAGAAAAGGAGCCACTCGTGCTAAAGACCTTCTTGGTCTAGTACACACGGATATTTGTGGCCCTCTGAGAACTCAAACATTCTTGAATTGTAAGTACTTCATCACATTCATCGATGATGTTTCACGATATACGCATGTATATTTGATAAAACAGAAGTTTGAAGTCTTTGCCAAGTTTCCGAAATTCAAAGCAATGGCTGAAAATTACATAAACGAGCGCATCAAGGTTTTGCGATCAGATAATGCTCTTGAATACAAATCTCGAGCTTTTACTAATTTTTGTACACTTCATGGCATACAACAAGAGTTTTCCATTCCTGATACTCCTAAACAAAACGGAGTAGCAGAACGGAAGAATCGAACTTTGATCGATTCTTTCGTTCTGCTTCCTTAGACATTGCCATGTTGACACATTCTGGTCTCTCTCATGGCTATTGGGGAGAAGCCATCCATACATCCGTTTACTTGCTGAACAGATCTCCATCGAAGGCTCTACCCACCACCAAAACCCCTTACGAACTTTGGCATGGGCAGAAGCCGGATCTGCGGAATCTACAAGTTTTCGGATGTATTGCCTTTGCCCATATTGAGAAAGGCTATCGGGGTAAGATAGACCCCAAGAGTGTAGAATGTGTTTTACTTGGCTACTCTACTACAGCCAAAGGATATCGCGTACAGAGAAAGGACTCTCACAAGATTCTTGAAAGCAGATCTGTCATATTTATGCCTCTTGCAGTTCGAGAAGCTACCTCTCACCATCAGCAAGCATCAGTTATTCCGCCTGCTGAGCAAGAAGGTTTTACTCCCTTTCGCCATGTTCCACTAGCTCCATCGACTGATCCAGTTCGCAGGAGGTTACCAGCAGGACGATCACCAGCGGTAGGAGAATTCAGTCCATTGATACCATCACATGCAGTGGGAGTTCCACAAGCAACTTCCACTTCCTCCGTAAGTCATTCTCCCACTGCTGAAGTCCCTGCAACTTATCCAGCCCGTTTTGGCCAGATTTATCAGAGACGCATGTGGAAGCTACGGGAGAATTCTCTCTCTTCGGCTCCTCTTGATGATTCAGTGTGCAACCTCGAAGACTTACTAGGATAACTCCGAATTCACAACACTGCATCTGAAGTCCCGCCTGCAGCTACGGGGATGCTTCATCATCTTCCCACTCCATCGATCCTCTCTTTCGAAGGGGGGAAAGAGTAAGGAAACGTGTCAAAAGATACGATCAACTTTTAGAGAAGAGGAAGAAGCATCGAGGTCTATTTTCATACGGAGAGACTCACCAAGAACCTACTTCTTATGAAGAGGCCTTACAAAATGCTAATTCCATCAAATGAAAGCAAGCTATGGAGGACGAATTTTCTTCCTTGAAGAAAAATCACACCTGGACATTGACAGAGTTACCTGCGGGTAAGAACGTTGTTGGCTGCAAATGGATTTACAAAATCAAATACAAGCATGACGGTTCTGTTCGAGAAATAAATTTCGTAAAAATTGTTAAAGTTAATTCTGGTTTATGAGAAACCTCAAGTTATAGCTATATATAGCTAGGTATGTCGATAGCTTTGGGTATAAATATACTCCCAATGCTTCTACTCATGAGAGCATTCAATAATAAGTAAATGTTCTCGTGTATTAAGCCGTGAACGTAGCTCTTGATGATGTATCATGTTATATGAGTGTCTCATGTGTTTGTGTTTGGTTTGAGTGACACTTGGTTTTACGTTTGAGAGAAAATAAATGTAAAGTGTAATCATTCAACAATGAATGAGCTTTGCGCAGAAAAATTGATCTCTTTCAAAACATAAATTTTCAATGTCAATTTTGGCATTTGAAACAACAATTGCAATGAGTATATGTAAATAAACTGGCTTGATTTGAATTTTTATCAAGTAAATGTCATAATCAAGCAAATAGATTTCTCTTGATGTCATTTCCATTTGACACCGATCTTCAAATGATAGACATTCTTTGTGATTTGAAAGACTAAAAAATAGATATTAAAAGCCATGCTACGTACTTGGCGGAAAATTTGCATAAACTATGCATTGACAAAATATACTTAGCTTTCTTATAAAGTCAGCTTGTGTTTCAAGATATGATTCAAAATATAAATGTTTATTCATATATGAATACTAATAAATTATCCAAATGTTCAATCTTGGCTCATATATATAGAACCAAGATACATTCAAGACTGTTCAGATTAACTTGGTTGATTTTATATCACGTTGTGGTGGTTTCGAGTGTATATATATATATATGGAGTGTTTAAAACATAAATACACTTCGATGAGGTTGTTCATTATTCATTTTTCTTTTTATTCAAAGATATATAATCAAGTAGTCACCAGTATACTCACTTTACCGGAAAGTATATGTTTCCTTGCACCACTAGAACCCTTCGGAGAATCACTTAAAATTGCATTTCTATATCAAATTGAATTGTATTATTCGAGTGTGACGGCATATTGTGCTAAAAATTAGGAGGAAGAGGAGACATCAACATTGTGCATTTTTATGAAGACTACATGTTACTGATAGTTAGTGTTTGAGAATTTAATCGTTGTTGTATTGAAGTTTACTACATAGAAAAAGATAATCAAAATTTTATTTTTGTGAGTTTGTTGATTTGTATGCATAAACTTGCTTATCTGAAGTAACTTTTGTCACCTTGATTCTTGCTCATTTGTACATGGACTGCGGATTGCTACATAACTAAAGAATATAGCTTTCAATGTCTGGAATACCCATGGTTTTTTTCAAACTGCACTAGGTTTGTGATTTTTGCTGCTCTTTAGATAATGCTGCTGTATATAAGGATAGCTTAGGAAACATAATAGAATTCATAATTCTAGCCCTCACATTGCTACTTGAAAATCTTGGAGGTAAGAGTATCTTACACCTACCACTTGATTCTTCAAATCTGGTCCAATTAATGATCAAATTGCAGGAGTGAGCTCTGAGAAAAATCAAAAATGATGGGGTGAAAGGAGTGGATTATCCAAGCTTTCATATCCAAGGGCGTTCAGAAGGCCATGACGAGAAACAGATTCAATTCAATAATTCGCGATTCACAACAATTCGTTTTGAGATAGTATGATTAGTATTAACTTCCTTCAGCGACGGGCCATGTTAACTATACACATTGACCTTCGCTTGGATGGTAGTTTGGAAGTACTGTCAAGCCTATTGTGATCAGTACTGGTGCAGAAAATAATGTTAATAATATATAATTTCCTTCTAGTTTCACTAAAGAGCAGCATTTGGTTTCCCAAATAAAAGAGTGTATTGTGCTTTTGTAAGATCTTTCTCGAGGGTATCAATTTGACGATTGAGTTCCTCAATAATTCCTGTAATTCCATGTACCGGGTCTTTCTTTCGTGCGTCTGCCTCGAGAACCAAAGTCGCAGCAGCAGTTTCACGTAACCTTGGCTCAACATCGTGTCAGATGTTTTCCACTTGCTCCTCACCATATACATCATTTACGAGTAGAAAGCTTTGTCTTTTTGCTTCAGGGAAGATCTGGGCGAATACACAAAATTAGTCACACATTTTATCGAAATATTTGCACCGAGCACATCGACCAAGTGCAAAAGTTTCGATGTTTTTCTCAGTTCGCACATCATCATGGTTGGAGCCCATAACTGGAAAACAAACACGAAGAAGAGGAAATAAGAATACATTCAGAGTAAATGTGGACAACACAGAAATGTTGATCAACAGACGTTAGTAGTACAGCTGAGATCAATGAAATTCCATAACGTAGGTACAGAGAAAAATGGAATAAGAACTGGAATGAATGAATGATAACTCGAATGCTACGGTGCATGCTCGATCTGAAGTAAACTGCAAAAGAAATCAGAAGTTATGCTCAATTGCAGATGCATGTTGATAGGGAATGCTACAAAACAAGTCTGTAAGATACTGTGCAATGATTGGACAGTACCTTTACAGACAGAAGAATGAATCAGGAGAATCAGAGTAGATTGAAGCAAAACTCATGATTATTGGCAGGCGCGGGGAGAAGCAAGCTCTACAAGAAGGAAGAACGAGGTGAACGATATTCAATGTACAGCACAGAAAGACTGAAGCAACATGTACCCTTATCGAAGCTTGTACCTTGGTTTGGTTCCAATCGATTCATTGATTGCAGACCTGGGCGAGTTCACTTCACTCCTCTCTACTTCCTCTCCGAATGATCAATTTCCAAACAAAGGTTTCCAGGGTGTCGAGAAGATTATTTATACTGCAATCACCTGAAACTTCAAAGAACTAAAGTACGAAAAGGCCATGTACCATGAACCAACAGAGAATGAATTATATTTTGCCATATCAGTAGCTGTCAATATCACGAGGAAAAAGACATTTTGAATCTGTTGAAAAGAAAAGCAACGGTTTACGTATTTGGTACAAATTGTACAGAAGACATGAAGCACATCACTTCTGTCAGCATCAGGGATCAGCTGATCATGGAAAATAAGCCTCAGAGACCTCCTTGTACTAGTCTATGAATAAATTCGAGGTAGGTCGAAGACTGTGACAAGTTTTATTTGATCTACTTGATGCCTCTGCATGCACCTGATTTACATATGAATACGACCATGAACGACATGTGTAACTTCCACCGCGCTTGACAAATCTTCCAAAACACTAGAAAGGTCTGAAAATATGGACTCTTTCGGGCAATTCAGAGATTATGTTATCTGCTTCAGTGTACTTTTGAGAAATAACATATGGTCTGTCAGAAATTGCGAATAACTGCCAGACGAATCGTGGTGGTTATTCCCATGTTTACACCATGTCAGATTTTTTCTGACGAAGTCATGGGTTGTTAAACCTCATACCTCTGATGCTGGTTGACGAAACCAGAAGGTACCGGGTATACTATTCTCTATGGTCAAGTTGAAGCCTTTGTTGCTATGCAAATGGAAAATGAGAGGGAACCTGGTTACATCCAAGGTATAGAGATAATAACATGTACTATATACAGCATTGCAAATTTGATTAATACAGCGATATCTTCCCGTAAAAATTACGTGTGGAAGTTGTAATTGAGATTTCTGATTGAATAACTTCCGCATAATTTTGACCTCAATTCATGTCTATATAGTCTACTTTACCTAATAGTGAACCTGGATTGATTCAATGATATATTCAATGATATGAGAATATAAACCCAAGACTTTTGAAATTATTTGTTTTTATTGGGAGCCAATCAATGTTGATTTGGGTTGGTTCATCCAGATTTGCAGTTACGTAGATGAAATTCCAAATGATTTTATTTGTCATTAAAAGTGAAATTGTGATTTCAAAGTCAAAAGAAAAGGTTGAAAAAAATTAGCAACTGAATAAATAAACAAGCATTTCCTCTTATTTTCTTCAAATTGAATGTTTCAGATGGGTTTTTTGGAAATGATTTGGATATGTGAGTGGTCGATTAAAAAAATTTCTTGAACTGACCTTTCTTTATTTGAAAACTACACATTTCGATGATTAAATTCACGTCAAAATAGCTAATTGATTGCACGTATTCTACATATGTTCACAAACATGTTAATCTTCATCGAAGCGCTGGCCCTATTCTGAAATAAAATGCAGTCTTCCTTATTCGAATGCTCTCTAACGTCAAGATTCAGATCAGATTAATATGAATAATAATCGGATTTGATGTATATGACACCCTTGAACATGTAAAAGTGATTCAGAGTGCCTTAGCCCTAAAGGATGAGTCCTATCGAAATCAATCGCCTCAGCTAATAGTGCTCCAGCCCTGTGTTGGTGCTCAGAATGCTAGCAAGTGCTAAGTCAGACACCACATTGGATTTCCCCAGTAGTAACATAGAGGACAAACATTGAATTACATACGAGAGGTATGATCAGCAGAATCATTTGAAGGATCGAGAAATAATAATGTTATTAAACGATTTGTGGACATCACGAAACTTGGTATTTATGCTACCGTGACTTATAAGAATTAACTGTAAATTACCTCACATATACCGCTATCTCTTTAAAACCTTCAACAGAATAAACAGCTGCCAATATGTATGAATAAGGTTAGTACTCAAGATTTAACAAACATTTACAGTTTGCGGATTAGTTCATTCTCCGGTCCAATAACTGAGCCTCCACAGGGTCTGGTCATTTCTACATATCTTGCAGTCCATGAACCAAACGATTCAAGTTCAAACTCGCATTTAGAGTGTCAACCAAATTACCAGCTAACACTGCTCTTGAATCGGGCTCACAAATTTCTCCTAACTAGAAATCGTAGGTGCCAATACTGTTGTAGAAAAGCTTGTCTAGCTGCATATGCATCAGCTAGATCTGCACCTTCAGGTGCCACCAACTGATTACTTTTATATCAAAAGCGCTGGCCTTGCTGAAAATGTATGATATGCTTACGCATGCATGACACGTAAAATAAATGTTGAATCCAAATGGAATTGTAGAGAATAATAACCTCGTGCCCATTCCAACATTGCACTATTGGAGATGGATATTCTAACAAAGAGCATTTAAATGGTGATTTCCAAAAATGGGTTGTTTATTTGGTCGTCCCCTACTATCCCACTAATGGGTTATCTCGTGATCACATTTCCCTCGACAAATCGACAGCACGTACTTTGTTAGTTTAGAGGACACACTATGTATTTGTCAAGTCTTCAATCCAATGACTGCAGTATAATACCTGCCCTTGTCCCTGATGTTCAAAACAGGTGAACTCACACGCAACATGCTGCAAACTGAGTCTGATGATTTCAATCGCTTTACTGGCCATGTCACCATCGAAGGCCAGCTATATCCAATCCAAAAATCCGATAATGCTTCGTTATTATCTCCATGGCAGTTCCCTGGCAGGACCGCAAAAGCCTGAGTGGGATTTGCCTGAGGAAACCTGACATCTGCTGTTGAATTCGGCGACGTGACCGTCCCCAGCAGGCCGTCGAGAACAACGAGGTCCAGAGACTCGACTCCGCTCGGGAAGTCTAGTGGAACCATCGTCGCTCTTGGAGCCTCGCCCGTCCTTCATTCCGTTCACGGCGGCGCTCGATACCACCGAGCATCCGGACGAACTCGGCGCATGAGACTTGGCGATCGTCGGTGGAGCCGGTCATTCCCGCGGTGGTCGAGGTCTTCTGCTGTCCCGTCCCGGAGGTCGGTCACCGAGTGCCAAGGTACACACTTCACATGTTCTTCGATCAAAGGATGGACGAGAGAGTATCCCTTCCCCTTTCCGTGTACGTATAAGCCTTCACTTGGCGTTATTTTCCTGTCCAGTAATTCCAATTCCGTGCCTTGGACAGAGATAGAATTGCACAAGGTTGCCGAATTCTCTACGGTCAGCATTCGGAGGTCCATCTAAAACGTCACCTCATAGCCAGTATCGATGAACAGGCTACGGAAGAGTTTTCCGCGAGAGAGGTGCATTCTGTGTGAGACCGTAGCTAGCCTCGTCACTAAGGGCTCCCCTAAACCCTAAACCATGGAGCGTGGCGGCCCTCCCCGGGGGGTCGGGCTGCTCCCTGGTCGGAGCGGGAGGTCGGCCTCGTAGCTAGGTACAGTAGAGAAATGTGCATGTTCTACAGTTACGACCCGGCCTGCGGAAGGATTCGAGCCATCCACGTCCCTTTCCCTCACGAGAGCTTCTGGAGGCCGCGCACGAACAACATGGCCTGCTTCACTGGTCGATGAGAGTTATTTGAGCCTTTGTTTTCATTCTAACTAAAGTATTTTCTAATACTTTTATTTTAACTGATAGATCTCATGTATGCTCACATCTTCTCCACATTTATATCCATATGTGGCTTCTTTTCTCGGGATCTTAACCTTTGATTTTGCTGGGCCAGAAATATTGATTCGAAATTCACGAATCATCTGAATGACTAAGTAGTCCCTTTTTCGAGACCTTAATTAGGAAGCGTTGGAGTAAATGAGGTGGATAATTGACTAGTTTGTTGTGGCTCTAGTGATTTCAACCGTGTGACACTACAGTAATGCTCTTGACCGTGCTCATGAGAGGATCGAATTCATAAGTTCCAAATTTGTACCTACCAAAACATTAACACTCATCAAACCAATCCTAATTTAAAACAAATATCGTTATATCTTGTTACAATAATGTTACTATGAGTGTATTCAAGAAGATAATGTATGGTAAAAACGACATGATTAACATGAACACATTGTTCCTGGAAGTGTCCATCGTACTTAGCTGTCAATATGATAACTAAAGGATTTTTTAACAACGAGGTAAATATGTACACTTCTTGAAATACATATCTCAATGTTAAGCAATGATTTTGTTGTCGCTTGTTGATACTCATTTTACTCCACAATCGAGATTTTAAAATCTTCTATTGTAGTCTAATCTAGAGAACTCGTCCGAGTATCTCTAGAGTCTAATCCAAAGTTAAGTTAGACAGTTTTGTAACACTACTTTTGAGATACTTACAAGTGCTTGAGTACCAAAATCTCTGAATCTTAAGAATTCTACCACTCAAAGAAGCAAACCAAGACTCTCAGAGAAAACCTTTCAACTTTAGAAGGCACCAAACTTGAACAAACAAAAATTCCAACCATGGTTGAGTCCCTATCAGTGTGTTATTATGGTTAGCTTTTTTTGATTCTTTCCTTGATCTTTACTTAATCTTTCCCTCTTAGGTCTAAGAATATTCAAGTGCATGCAGATCTGTCACCAGATGTCTAGACAATGTAGAAAAATCAAATTGAAGTACATCTTGCTGACTAATGATGGCATCCTCTGATCTAAAGAATGATTTGTGAACAGAGCACTTGAAAAGCAAAAATTCCTTTGACGATGACACGTGTCGTCGTCAAGTCATTCAAATTGAGAAAAAAATCTCAAATTGTGGTACTTTGAAAATGTATCAAAATTGGCGAGTTTAAAAGAGTTTATTGTGGCAAAGCAATTGGATATTTTCCAGCAAATGTAACATACAAACACCGGAAACAAGAAGTACTTACCAGGTTAGGAACTAGCCTATTCCAGTACTACGGTTACTTCCTTTCAAGATAAACGTGATTTGACTCCACGACCGAGATGAACAGGCAAATTCATGGCAATATAACGGTCTCGTTTGGCCGATATCTTGTAAAGATTATGATCCCGAGGCCAAAAGTCTCCCATACCAAGAAGTAGAGAACACATATGACAAACTTGTTCCAAAACGAAACACTACCCTAGGGGTCCTACGTCGGAGAAGAAGGAGTTAATAAATTGTCCGGCTCTAAGGGAGTCAAGTGAGTGAAACTTACAAATCAAATCTCACTCCCGCTTTGATAAACAGCGGATTGACCAAATATTTTCAGAGAAAATT